TAGGTGCATTTAATTGGGATGTCTTTAGTTGGGGTTTCTTTCCAACTGTGAAAACAAAATGCTCTCAATGTGATTGGTTTCCTTCTGTAGTGAAGGAATAAAAGTGATGAGATACATTTATGAATATCAAACAAAAGATTTTAGGGTTTCATTATTTTGACGTCACCTTAATTATCAGGTTTTCTTAAGGGTATTACTAAGTTTATCAGTTAATTTGAATTTTGACGATAAATTGGAAAACTTCGGTACATCTATTTTAAAAGCTTTGACCAACAAACATTTTTCTTATAAAAATACTTTATTTCAGATGTCTGACATAAACTGCTCGGCGTACCTGAAAACTGATGGGTTTTTACGACCATTATTAGCTAAATTTTGCGATCAACCAAGATCGTAAATTGATCTTTTTTCCATACAGCAAAAACGGTAGCTAACCATGACAAACTAAGGTCATTTTCGGAATCAACACCATTGAATTAGTTAAAAAAACACGTGTTTTGCTTCTTGGCACCAAAAATCGTTTTGACCATGATCACCTAACGCCCTGAAAGAAGATGGCATTAAAAGAAATTAAAAAAAGATGGCCGCAATCGAGATTACGGTCCTTGTAATCGCCTTCATTGTCCGCATAGTATTTCAATCAAGTTCATTACATTCACTTACATGATAATACTCTTGGGAATACTCTTGGGAAACCATCTCTTCCTCCTTGGCTATGGGTAAATAGTAGGAGAGATTGGGCCCTATTGACAGGCTTGGCAACTAGCCAACCTAGGCATCTCAGCTTCAGTCACATACCTACCGCCGTAATATAGCTTCCCTGTATCTTTTCTATAAATACTTTCATGGTAATTGCTCAGATGAACTTTTCGATAGGGTACATAAGGGGACTAGTTAGGGTTTTCATAGAGACAATGAGGTATTATGGTGAATGTCGTAAGAAAGGTAAGAAAGAATGTGTTGTTTTGGTATTAGGAATATAGTGGTATGTTTAGGTCTTTGTGACTAGCTAAATTTAATATTGAAACATTAGAAGATCATCCTTTTCCCTATTCCCCTTTTTTGGCATTGTGCCACATTTCATATATATTTACAAATAAATATTACCCTTCGATATATTTAGAGTTTATATTATGGTTTTAATTGACTAGCAATATTATTGTTTTAAATGAGTATCATCATTTTTACATGAGCAACAACCATGTCGTTTTAAAATGACTATCGAAATTGTTCCTTGATTATCACTTCAGTTGTTTTCATTGATTATCAATATTTTTCAATATCAATAAGTATTGATGTTGCGATTTTAAATGGGGATTCATATTTCTCGTTCAAATGTGTACCAATTGTGTTCGTTTAAATGAGTCTCTAATTTCTTTTGTTTTAAATGTGCGTCAGTTTTCTAGTTTGAAATGAAGTTGAATGTTTTTGTATTTTATTCAATACTAGCAGTAGAGCCCGGCGTTGCCCGGGGATGTAACAGTAAGAGATAGATCAAGTATCGACCATCATAAAGACTGAAAAATAAAATTGACAAAGATTATATGATTATTGTTTAAGGTTGACGGACACGCATGTGTTAATTATTTTTTTTTTGTTTTGTTTCGTTTTGTTTTGTTTTTTTTTACGAATTGGTCAAACCCAAACTCAAACAAAAACATTGTTTTTAATCGTTATGAGTCTATCGATTGAATAGAATTGTATTATAAACAATTGTCTTGTAAATGGAATCTTTAAAGCATTCTGAATGCAAAAATAAAGAAAAAAGTGTGCAAGACAATAAGAAACACTACCTGCCAAAAAAAAGTAAGGTTTTGTTGAAATCAGTTGAAAAATGTAGGAAATCCGATCCCATATATAAACGAACACACACACACACACACACACACACACACTGGGTTTTATAATAAGTATAACTCGATATGACTTGTCCCTCTTTCATTCTCGCGACAGCGATGCCTCTTAATCGTATTTTCAAATTGATTTCGTGCAAAAACAATTGTGTTTTTCCAATTTTTGGCTCTGTCAGAACCACCGCAAGGTAATTTTACGTAGTCCTGTGAAATTTTGTTGAAATCGGTTGAAAAATGTAGGAAATCCGATCCAATATATAAACGTATACACACACACACACACACACACACACACACACACACACACACACCTGGGTTTTATAATACGTATAACTCGATATGAGTTGTACCCCTTTCATTCCACGAAAGCGATGCCTCATAATCGTGTTTTCAAATTGATTTCGTGCAAAAACAATTGTGTTTTTCCAATTTTTGGTGCTGTCAGAACCACCGCAAGGTAATCTTACGTAGTCCTGTGAAGTTTTGTTGAAATCGGTTGAAAAATGTAGGAAATCCGATCCAATATATAAACGTACAGACACACACACACACACAGACACACACAACCTGGGTTTTATAATAATTATGATTATTATTGCTGTGTTAATCAGCACCGTTTCTGTTGCTTTAAGTGATTATCAATATTATTGTTTTAAATGAGTAACAATATTTTTCTTATAAGTAAGAATTGATGGCATTTTAAACGATTATTGATATTGCTGTTCAAAATGGACGTCAGTAGTGACTGTTTAAATGTGTATCAATTTTGTTTGTTTGAAATGGGCGCTTAGTTCTGTTGTTTTAAATGGTCATCAATGATCTTGCTTTAAATGAACATCAACTGTGTTTTGCCAGATGATTATCGACATCCATGTTTTAAATGAATATCAGTTTTATTATTTTAAATGCTAATCGTTATTGCTGCTTTAAATGAGCACTTTTTGATTAAGCCAGAACCATATTCAACGTATAAATTTATAAGAGTTTTCGTTGGTTGTAAGAAAGGCTACCAATTTCTCCATTAGTAACTACCGGCGTCGAAACCCATCAGGATGAGACCAGATCCTGGTGAAAGATGTCACATACCCTGGATTCTACTCGGTTTGAATTCTAGACGGGATATAAAGAGGATTGGGACTTGGGGCCTTGTCTATCTTGGTTCGTAGAGGAGAGTTACGTGCTTCCTTAAAACGACAACTGAAACTGGTGTTATATGTACTGATTTCAAATGCTAACCAAGGACGTTGTTTAGGAATCGTATTGTTGCATTCTCTATCTTTTCTTCTCCCGGCCGGGGTTCGCTAAATATTTTTTGGTTCAGAGATAAAAACACTCCAACACAGAGAATTTTAACTTAAGTACTTTATTAACGTCGACATGTGCTAACTATAGAGTGGGGCCGATCCTCCTCAACGGGAGCCGTTTCAGACCCGAAAAAGAACACGTCTACATCGCTTGATGGTCAAGGAACAACTCCCTGAAAAATATTTCTCTACCTATCATTCCCACGCTAGCTCAGCCAATTAAAATCGAGTCCCTTATTAAGGCTTCCATCTGACCTCAAAGGTCAACCTCCGGAAGATATACTTTTAATAAAAAAAAATGATAGTCGGCTAAACGATGATTTAACAGAATGAATCCATCTCTTCACCTACATAAGTATGGGGTAGATTTGGCTTTGTAGCCTTGGTTGTCAAACAGTCTAGGGCACTGACAGTTGTGAAACTAAAACCGGTTGTGTCTGGGCCAAACATACTTGATATGGAAACCAACGCAGGAACCCCAGTTTTGACCATATAGTACTTGTTTCAAATGAAGATCCACTTTGTTTTGGAAAAAAAAAATATCGACATTCATGTTTTAAATGACGAACACGACTGGAAAAGGAACTCAGCTCTCTGTTTTCCAATTTCGGACCGTTATCCTTTACTCCACCCGTACATCCAAGATTACAGCAACTGATATTCTCAAGCAGTCACCCATTAAGATACTGACGAGGCTCGACGTTGCTTAACTTCTACGACAAAATCTTGGCTCCGATTTCCGCCGGTTGACCTTCGAGGTCAGATGGAAGCCATAATAAGGGAGTCGATTTTGTTGGTGATCGTACGGGAACCAATGTTTCAACATGATATGTCTTTAAACCTATTATTATTATTATTGAATATATGATAAAAAAAAAACCTTCCAGGAAGAGATTTAACGCCTCAAAAACTAAACTACTCTCTATTAATCACCATAGAGATCCTTAGAATGTCTGATAGTCAACTTCTTGAGAGCAACTACCTGCGTCTGCTCGGTCTCACGTTGACTGCTGACCTGAGATGGAACAAATACATTGAGTCAATTGCTTCTTCCACCGCGAGGAAAGTTGGCTCTTTGTGCCGCGCCAGGAAATTTTTCTCCCCGGAATCGATACTTCAAATATACAAATCAATCATTCACCCTTGCATGGAGTATTGCTGCCATATATGGTCTGGGGCACCTTCTGTTTACCTCGGAGTTATTGACAAGATCCAAAGACGGATATGTAATATAACTGGCCCTGATCTGACGTCTCGTCTACAGTCACTCTCTCAGAGACGCGCCGTCGCCTCTCTCTGTCTTTTCTACAAATACTTTCATGGTGATTGCTCCGCTGAGCTGCCTTCACTGGTTCCCAGACTCCATGAATTCAAGCGCCCTACGAGGCTGGCAACACGCTCTCACCCTTTCACTGTAGAAACTTTTAAATGTAGCCGTCTCTTCTACTCCAATAGCTTCATACCTCGCACCTCTCGCCTGTGGAACACCCTTCCCAATTACCGTTTCCCTGAACGCTATAATCTCCAACTATTTAAATGTAATGTCAATCGACATCTCCAGTTACCTTGATCTACCCACTATCC